CAAACATAAATGGAAAGCTTCAAAAGGGGAAAACCAGAAGATGAAGAGGAGGTGGGGGAAGCTATTCAGGGGTCTATGGTTATAGGTAGAGAAGGGAGCACTGCGGCTCCTCTGGAAGGAGAGTAAGGCTGAATTAGGGACAAGGACAGAGGCTCCCCAGGGGGATTCAGCACCTGAAGGATTGCAACGATGACCCCAAAGAGACCGATGGCACTGCCAAAGATCTCCACGATGAGAATCTTCACGAAAAGGCTGGGGTTCTGCGCATCGGCCAGGGCGGCTCCACTGCCCACGATGCCCACACAGACTCCACAGAAGAGGTTAGACAGGCCCACTGTGAGGCCAGCCCCAAACATGGAGTAGCCTGGGGGATAGAAAGGGAGCACTGAGGCCAAGCCAGGCACAAGGGGAGATGAGGACGAGGGCCCAACACGGACTAATAGGGCCAATCACCACTCCAATTCTGCAAAGCAGGCCAGAGTAAATGAGAAAATATCAAAATGAGGAGTCTAAGCTGGGGTGTAGGAGGGGGAAGCATGGTTGCCCCTGCTTTTTGCCTTCACACATCCACCTACCTGCATGGTAGTTTCGATGGCCAATGGCCTGGGGGTCAGTGGCACTGAAAGGCTGAGGGAGGCAGAGAAGTAATCAGAAACCATTCCCTAGACTACTCCCCCACCTCCTCCTCCCGTACCATCACTAAACAATGTATAGAACATGTTGGAATAGATGCCCTCTCCACCCTGGTCCTCCGTACCTCAGCCATGTTGCTGATGACAATTGCCATGATGATGCCATAGATGGCCACAGCCTCACAGAAGATGATGCTGGTAGTGGTAGTGGTGGGCATAGCAGGGGAAGAGGAGAAAGAGATGAGAAAGAAACCAACCTCCTCCCCAGAGAGTCCCTAGCCACCTTTCCCCGCCCGACATCCCACCACATTAGGAGACTGGTCAGGAGCAGCATGTCAGTCCACACCGGCAGCTCCCAATGCAGCTGATTCTGACAACCTTCCAAGGGTCCTACACTTACCTGACCAGGTTCTTGGTCTTGATCCTGGGGGCCTTCACCCCTCCCCCAATGATGGAAGAGCCAGTAATATAGATGCCCCTGGTGGAAGGATAAGAAACTCATGAGCAGAGCCCAAACTTGTCACTGCCCCCAGGATGACTAAGGACCCAATGACACCCCCTGCTATGACTCAGCCCCTCCCCTCGGTCCCACCACCCCAACACTCACCATGCTGCCCCAACCACAGACAGGGAGATAGCTAGGCCAATGCCCAGGTTCGACCACATGAAGGGGGAAGTCTCGGTCAGGAACCTGGTGCCCAGAGAAGGAAGAAAGCAATTCAGCCCTGGTGGAGAACTGAGCACAAAATCCCTCTCCCCGCCTCCCGCAACTCCAACCACTCCTGGATGCTGAGACAAAACACTTCGTATCTCCCAACCGTCCACATCCCAGGCAGCTGGGGGTGGGGTGGGGTACGAGTTCGGATCAAAGAAGAAGGGGCCCAGAGGGAAGGCTGCAGAGAAGCAGCTCCTGGGGGATTCCTCTCTCTGCCCTCCCTTACCATGCCACATCAAAGCGGAAGCCCAGGTCAAAAATGGTGTAGCAGATCCCTGCAGCAAGGAGAAAAAAAGAGGTTAGGGGCCGCTCCCCAGAGAGAAGCTCCCCAACTTAGACAAGAAGTTGCTGCCCAGCTGACGAGCCACCTCCCCAAAAGTCTGCCTACACCTAAGTCAAGAGAGTGTCCTTGGGCCGGCCCAGTGGGGCAAGCGGGATTCGCCAGTTCGGATCCCAGGCACACACAGGTGCACGGCTTGTCAGGCCATGCTGTGGCGGCGTCCCATATAAAGTGGAGGAAGGTGGGCATGGATGTTAGCCCAGGGCCAGTCTTCCTCAGCAAAAAGAAAAGGACTGGCAGATGTTAGCTCACCGCTGATCTTCCTCACAAAAAAAAAAAAAAAAAAAAAAAAGAACAAGAAAAACGAGTGTCCCCAGGCTGGCCTCCACGGGAAAGCACAGCTATCTATAGATTCCTCTGCTCAGGCCTCGGTTTTCTGCCACTCCCTCAGTAACTTATCTCCCTCAGCTACATCACCTCCCAGACCAAGACCCTCCACGGGGGCAGCCCCCAGCAGGCCTGAACACCCGGAGGAAGGGAGGGAGCAAGAGCTCTGGCCAGACCCCACACCAGAACCCGCCAGCCCAGTCCGAGCCGCTGTTTACCCAACAAGCTGCGGTTGGGGGAGAGGCCTAAACGCCCGCGGAAAGAGGAACTGGAGCAGCCGGCTCGTGACCCAAGCAGGCCGCCCAGGAGCAAGCGAGGGACGACAGCAGTGAGGCCGGGGAGGGGAGCGCTAGTGACAGAAGGGGACCAGGGCTGCTCTCGCGGCTCCCACCATCCCCCGCCCGCGCCCCTCGTCTAGCAGCTCGAAATCCGGGCCTCCTCGGTCGCGGTCAGAGGCCCCGACAGACGTGACGCAAGTCCCGGGGCCCTGGGGACAGAGCCCGCACTGGGGCCCAGGATTCCCGGGACCCCACGTCCCCCGCGGGGCTCCAGCCCGGCTAGCTCGGCCCAGACGCCGGCCCCGCCCGCAGGGCCCGGCCTCACCCACGACGACCATGCAGGCCCAGAAGGCCACGAAGACCCCGGAGTAGAGCAGCGCTAGCCCCGTCATGGCGGCAACAGCGGTGGAGCGCGGGTGGGCGCCGCCACAGCCAAAACCGCGTCCCTCCGTCCACCCTCCGCCCCGCAGCGTCACCTGACTCGCCCACGTGACGCGCCGGCACCACGTGACCACACGCCGGGCCCTGCGCCGCGTCGCTGCCGGTCTAGACCCTGGGGACGCCGGAACTGCAGGCGCTTAGGCTCACGGTGGTTGTAGTCTCGCGCCTCGGGAACGGCTCCGGCGTCCTTCCAAGTCCGTCCACCTCTGGCCGGTCCCTCTCGCGTTCCTGCAAGCCTGCTCCTCCTCAGCCCCGACACTCCGCCCTGCGTCGGCCCATCAGCCCTGCTTCACACCCGGGCCTGCCTAGCTTAGCCCCCAAGCCTGGCCTGATCCCGTGGGCCTCCTCCCTTGCCGTCCTACCCAGTTCCGCCAGGGTGTCTGCTCTCGTCCTCACTTTGCTCATGCTGTTTCTTCTGCCTGACGCGCGCTTCTTCGTGTTCACCCCACCGCCGGGCTAACACCTACTGGGCCTCAGAAATCATTCTTCTAGGAACCCTTCCCTAACCCAGAGGCAGGGCGGTGCGCCTGCTCTGGGCTTCCCCACTGCCCTAGTGATCCTTAGGAAACTTCACAAGATCATGTCATTCTCTTTAAAATGCCTCAGTGGACCCCATTTCACACGGAATAAAAGCCATAGTCTTTTACAATGGCCTACTAGGCCCCTACCAATGCCGCTGCCCATGGCCCTTACCCCACTTCATCTCCTAACTCTCACTGTCTCCTCTGGCTGCACTGGCCTCTGTGGTGTTCCTTGAACGTACGAACCATACCCCTACCGCAGTGCCCTTGCACCTGTTCCCTCTGCTTCTCCTAATTTTCCGTGTGGCTCCTTCCGTACTTTCCTTTCAGTCTTTGCTCACCTTCTTCAAAAGGCCTTCCTTGACCAACCATCCTGTTTAATATTGGGATCCCTTCTCTCTTACACTCCTTCCCAGCTTTATATTTCTCCACAGCACTTACCTATCACCATTTGGCATACGAAGTGTTCTGTTTTTCCATCCCCCCCCCCCCCCACGAATGTAAGCACCATGAAAGGATTTCTCTTGAGCTCACTGCTGTATTTCCAGCGCCTGGCACACAGTGGGTGCTCAATGCATATTTGTAGAATACATGATGGTGCCCACCTTGTCCTGATTACCATGACCGGTTTATAGATCTGCCTGTATCAGTAGACTGTACTCCCAGAGGGCAGGGACCACATCTCCCTGTTCACCCACTTCTTCAACACCCTGGACAATGCCAGTATGCCCAGATTCTCAGCAAATGTGGGGAATGAAGACATGAGTCGTTTCACTCTACCCTTCCGAACCTTTAGGATTCAGCAACTCCACTTTTCTTGAAGAACCCACCATGCTGGTCCATACTTGTGTGTTTAAGCATGGTGCACCCTTTGCCCAAAGGTCCTTTTTTCTCGATGATTATTTTTTTCTCTGTGAGATCCAGCTTAGGTATCACCCTCTCTGGGAAGCCTCTCTGGGCTCCTACTGCCCGTGGGGGCTTCCCTCCTCACAGAGGACTGTTCACCGTGTGGTAATTGTGGACTTAACTGCGTCTGTTCCCAACCACACTGTGAGGACAAGAATCCAACCACATACAGTTCAGATCTCCACCCCAGGGCCTGTGCAGGACCTGCAGTGCTTGATGAATAACAGGAAACGAGAGAAAAAGCATCTGGTTTATTCAAGTTTCTGTGATCTCCCTGAGAAACAAACTGGAGTCAGTGTAGACCAGCACTGTCCAGCAGAACTTTCTGCAAAGACGGAAATGTCCTAAGCTGCGCTGTCCTCTCCTGTGGCTATTGGAGCGCTGAAATGTGACGAGTGTGAATGAAAAACTGAGTTTTTAATCTTGAGTAATTCAAATTTATGTTTAAATAGCGCCACGTGTCTAATGGCTACTGTACAGGATAGCATAGGTGTAGACCAGTGGTTCTCAACTAGGAGCAGTTTTGCCCTCACAGGAGACATCTGTCAATGTCTGCAGACATTTTTGATTATCACTGTTGGGGAGGGGTATGCTACTGGCATCTAGTGGGCAGAATCCAGAGATGATGCTAAACATCCTACAACGCACAGGACAACCCCTCTCAACAAAGAATTATCTGGCCCCAAATGTCACTAGTGCCAAGGTTGAAAAACCCTGGTCTAGACCATCTAGTGCATGCCTTTGACAAGGGCAGACCCTCAACTGCACGGCAGGAACTGGGATTGGCAAGAGGTCCTGGGCTGCTCCCAAGAGAACAGATGGGCCCAGAAGGCTTCAGGGAAGACCCAAAGCCGTTCCCCCCATCAGTCAAACAACAGGCATTTACTAAGCCAATATGTGCTAAGCCTTGTGCCAGTGCCGGGACAGGACAGAGCTGGATCTTATCCTTAGTGAGGAGATGCCTGCCCTCCCTCTTTCCAGGCTCCTTCAACCATCCTGGCAGAGAGGTGAGGTTGTGCAGGGAGCATTTAAGGTCTAGGAGTGATTCTTAAGTCCACCCGTGTCTCTGGTGGTATCAGCTGCTTCCCTCGTCCTCATAGGCGATGGCAATCCCTCGTCTTCCGCTCACAGCTCCTGTCACTGGCGTCTGACCCAGGCGGGGTTGCAGGCCCTGCCAGCTCCGGGAGCTAAGGAAGGAGGCTGCAGAGGGAGAGGGTTGAGGGTAAGTGAGCTGAACCTGGGGGAAGAGTTCAGCTGGGAGTGGCGACTTGCCACAATTACCTGCAGGGCTGCTCTCTGCCAGCACCAGCTGGGGCCGCGGAGTTAGGGCCGAGCATCCAGGATCATTTGATGGCTTCCAGGCAGGTGGAGGTCGGAGCTCCCCAGTAATGAGTGACACATCTGGGGCGTCCCACAGCTCCGAGTCAGGTGGCGGGAGGGGCACATGGAAAGGAGAGCCTGGAAGAGAGAGAGAGGACCCATACTGGCCCCCTAACTCCATTCCCCAAGCGTTTGCAGCTCAGGCAGTGCCCCACCACTTACCAGGCAATAAGTCCGCATAATGTGTGAGGTGGGGAGCCAGGCCTGGAGGTGGCCAGGCGGGATTGCAGGCAGCCTCCAGCTCACACGGTGACAATACAGGCCGGAAGAAGCTGCCAGAAGGCTGGGGGGCTAGTGCACCCAAAGGACAGGCCAACAGCACAAAGACGTCCACCTCAGGGAAGTTGGCAAGCTTGGCAGGCGTGGGCCGCCCCAGAGCCAACACATAGCTACGTTTGCCGGCAGCCTGAGTCAGGTTCCGCAAGTGTGCCAGCGCCTCACAATGTCGGGCCACACCCAATGTGCCCGCCAGCAGCCCTACCACGCGGGCATCTCTGGCCCTCTCTACCAGATAGCGCCTACGTGCTCTTAGCCGCCTAGCCCGGGCACCTTCATCCTGAGTCCACCCTGTGTCCGGGCAGCAAGAGAAGAAGGGCCGCCCTGGTGCCCAGCCCAAGAGCAGCCGGCTCAGGTCTGGGTTGAGGTCAGGGTCAGGGATGGCCTCAGAGCCCCCCAGATAGAAGGCACCATACTCTTCTAGACGCCTTCCTGGAGCCAGGGGGAAGCGGCGCCCAAAACGCTCCAGGGGCTCAGGATCTGGATTGAGGGAGCCCACAGGCAGGGGAAAAGCTGGGCTGGAGACAAGCAGGTCCAAGTACCTCGGGCGCAGGAGAGTGGCCAAGGTCTCTGGAAGAAGGAGGTGGTGTCAGGGTTGGGGCCTGGCAAAGCAGGAGCCCCCTCATCCCCAGGAGACTGAATGTGACCCAAAAGCAAAGGCTGGGGTCAAGCCCATATTGAGAGCTCTGTGGGAGTGTAGTGAAATGGGGAAGTTAAGGCACAAAGTAGGTGGCCCACCCTTCCTGCATGCACGGGCAAAACCCCTCACCCAGGGCATGGGCGCAGGCCGGCTCACTCAGCAGCACCACAGGCGCTGTGGGGTCTGGGTTCTGGGCCTCAAAGGCTTTGACACAGACCTCCAAGGCCACAGAACGTTGACCAAGGACGAAGGCCACGGGCAGTGGGCGGGCTGGAGGGCTTAAGCAGGCAGGGCCAAAATGTACAAGGGCCTGAGCTCCAGCTTGCTCAGCACCCAGCACATCCACACAGCAGCTGCAGGAGAGAGATCGTTAGTGAGGGGGGTTCTTATCAGGAGAGTTGCTGTCATCAATGGGAAATGTGGTCAGTGAAGAAAATGATGTCATGAAAAGACACTGTCATTGAGGGAAGCTAGTTTATCAGGAGAGGAGTCATCGTCACTGAGGAGAAACACAGCCATTGGGGCAGACACGGTCACAGAGGGGAAACACCACGAGCCCTGGATCCCTAGGCTTACCCCACCTTCAATCCTTAGACTCAGGTTCACACCTGCCATAAGCCGTGTCCCCTATAATGAACATCTTCGACCCCGTGGTCTCCTCCAGTCGTGCAGCCACAGCCCCAGCATCTCCCAACAGCTGGTCAGGGAACTGCAAGGCCACCTGTAAGCATAACCCATGCTTACTGTCAGGAACAGTCTCTCCTCCACCGAGGGCCTCTTCAAGGAGAACCTTCCGGCAGTCCCTACCTAACCTTCAAAGCCCCTAGTCCCAGAGGGGCACCTCCCCCCAACCCTATCCTCCCAAATTTCCCAAAGCGCCTCATCCTCTGGGCGACCCATCCCCAGGGAGGTGAGCCACTCCTCCCTAACTTGCCCTCACCCGTTGACACCCCAGGTCGCGGACAAATCCACCGATTCGCTCCAGTTCGTACACTCGGTCCAGGTCCGCGAGAGGAGTGAGCGGCCCCGCGGCGCCCGCCTCCCGCTGCAGCGCCGCCTCCGCGGGGCTGCTGAACGTAGACTCCATGAGGCACAGCCCGGATGGCGGGATGCGGCGGGGACTCCCCTCGGTCAGCCTCAGGCCCCAAGTCCTCAAAGGCGGCCCTCACTGGCTCGGAGCCGCTCGCTGGGGGGCAGGGCACTGGGCAGTCAGAGTCCGTCGGCAGCCCCGCACCAGCCCCGCGCCCACCCAAACTCGCGTTTCTCCGCTACACCGGGCCCTACCTGGGAGACTACTTCCGGGCTCCTGAGGCGGGGCTGACAGCAAGCTTACCAATCTTAAACCAGCACGGCTCCCGCCCTCCAATCCTCGCCAGGCCCCCCTCAGAGAACCAATAGCCGGCCTCAGAGCCCTCGGCCAACCGGAAGTGCCCCGGAGGGAGGCGCGGAGCCTCGTGGGCGTTGGAGTTCCCCGCCCTCCTCTCCACGCTCTGGGAGTTTTCGGAGTCAGCCGGCCGCCCGCCCTCAGAAATACCGGCTCCCTGAAAATAACTAGTCCAGTCTGAGCAGCTCCTATCCGCCACACACTCTTAAGCACTTAATGCACACTATCATCTGGGAGGTAGCACTGCATAATTTTTAATTCAGGTGCCAAACTGCCTGGGTTTGAATATCGTGCTTTGCCACTTGCTACTTACTGAGGATCTTAGGAAAGTTACTCAACGTCTCTATGGCTGTTTCCTCATCTGCAGAATGGGGGTTGTAACAGTAGTACTCCTGACAGGCTTGTTGGGTCAAATTAATTTAGATATAAAACTTTACAAAGTAGTCCTTTGCATACCCCGTGGACTGAAAGCTTTCGCTGTTAGCCTCACAGCAGTCTGTCAATCCGGCAAACACTGAAGGCTTACTGTTCATCAGGGACTACATTCTTAGAGTTTACAGTCTTTTGGAGTAAGAATTGTCCCATTTTACAGATGAGGACACTGAGGTTCTAAGAGGCTAACTAGGACCTGGCTAATCAGTGGCATAATCACTATCAAACCCAGGTCAGATTTCAGAAGCCTGGTTTTAGAGCCCTCATCCTCCTAACTTAGACGTGCTATATTGGGCCATGGGGGAAGGAGGTGGAAGAGGACACCCGGATGCCACATGCCACGTAGTAGGAGAATAAAGACTAAAAGTATGTGAAACATCTCCACATACCCCAGGACAAGTGAGACATCAAGAGCAAGGTGAGAATGGCACTAAGGAGGGGAAGGGGAAGCGGGACAGAGTGGCCTCAGGGGATGGCAGATGGGAGGACTGATGCTGACTGTGTGGGAAGAGACTAAATGAGGATGAAGAATGGAGGACTCAGAATGGAGGACTCAGAATTTGTGCAAAGGTAGGGAAAAGAACCAGGAGGAGCGAGCCGAATGTGGGAGAGTAACCAGTTCTCCTATCACCTCCAAGGAGACTCAAGGCTCACGGATGGGACGGGGGAGAACCCCGTCCTGCTTGTCAGATCTTACTGAGAAGACTGGGGTGCCTGAGAGGAACGCCGGGTGGAACCATGGCTGAGGAACCAGAAAGGGAGGGAACTGTGCTAAGGTAGGAGAGTGACAGCAGCCCTGGAGCTGTCCCTGGTCCTGACCAAGCCCTGACCAGCGAGTGCTGGGCAGGTACCACAGAGGTGGGGAGCTAGGGGTACAACACTGGGTCCTGCCTTCCTCTTCCTCTGGGGCCTGTGATTCATCCCCACACACACGCTCGGCCCCTTTCTATGCCTCTCCTCAACCATGTGCAAGCTTGGGTGTCTCCATAACCACACCAGAAACCCATCCAGGAATTCAAAGCCACACTCCATTTCTTCCCTCCCAGCTGGATCCAGCCCCACCTCACTTCCAGCCCAAGGCCCCAAGTCTTCTACCTAGGAAGCCTCCCATTCCCATTAGAAATGAAACCTCCCGGCCCTGCCCGGTGGCGCAAGCAGTTAAGTGCGCGCGCTCTGCTGCGGTGGCCCGGGGTTCACCAGTTCGGATCCCGGGCGTGCACCAACGCACCACTTGTCAAGCCATGCTGTGGCAGCGGCGGCGTCGCATGTAAAGTGGAGGAAGATGGGCATGGATGTTAGCCCAGGGCCAGTCTTCCTCAAAGCAAAAGGAGGAGGATTAGCAGATGTTAGCTCAGGGCTGATCTTCCTCACCAAAAAAAAAAAAAAAAAAAAGAAAGAAAGAAATGAAACCTCTTCCATGCAGCATTCCCTCACTGGTCCCATTCTCCCAGCTTAGCATGGTAATTATGGACTAGATCAGCCTTTGTTCAGATAGAACAAGGCAAGGCAGAACTAGGACCTAGTACTCAGCATTGTTGATTAAAAATTTTTATGCATGCACATTGGGACTAATTTAATGGGGGCAGGGAGGTTGCTGGTACTACTGCAGTCTCCATCCCATGCCAAAGGCAATGGCAGTTTTCTGAAAGGCTCCAGCCAGGTGGCTTGGCTATAGCAGTGCCCCTTCCACCCTAGGGACTGGAGGTTATCCCTACCACTCCCTGCCAAGGCCTGGGTCCAAGTATCCTCCCAGCCTTCCCCAGGCCAACTGGGGTCACCCAATTAGGTGGTGGTGGCAGCAGAAAGGAAGCCGAGACAGCAGTGCGGTGGAAGTCCAGGTTTACTCTTTGGGGAGGGGTGAGGAGGAGGTGTGGGTGGGACGGAGCGCCCCTCAGTAGTCAGCTGTGTAATCTGTGCCATGCAGCCCCCGGCACAGCAGTGTGAACTCCTTCACCATCTCCTTCACCCGCCTCTTGTTCACTCGCTCGCTGGAGGGAAAAAAAATCAGGTTAGCACCATCCACCACCACCGCCTCCTCCTCCTGACCCAAGCCCAGGACCCACCAGCTCTGCTCACCGAAGGATCTGCTGGCTGAAGGTGTCCTTCTGTTCAGGGCTGAGGCGGGCAGAGGGAAAACCAGGTGGCTGCAGTGCCTCCTTGATCCACATGCTCAGGAGGCTGAAGCAGTGTTTGTTCAGGGCAAATAGGATGTCAGCAAAGCAGTCCATGAGGCTGCGGGAGGCCTGGCCCCCAATGGCCTGAGGGAAACGGATTCTCAGCACACCAGGACGTTGCCCCTTCTGCAGCCACATCCCACACCCTCCAGGACAGTTCCTTAACCAAACCATGACAAGTGAGCACTGCTTTTTGAGAGCTAGCTGATCCTCACAGCAACCCTAATAACTTTCAGCCATTTAATTGAGGAAGGAACAGAATCAGAAGCTTAGGAAACCAAAGGCTCAAGCTTCCCAAAAGGGCAGCTGCCTCAGCAGTGAGGCCCACCCCACCCCATCAAACCCCCACTTGCTTCATCTCACCTCCAGCACTGCTATGAGCAGCATACGGCCATCCTCCTGTACCACCTTTCCCACAGGCTCTACTTCCCCACACCGCGGCAGCAGCTCTGTCTACAGAGGATGGAGAGGCCCGTCAACACCAGCTCCTTCCTCGCTTCCCAGGAGTCAAGACCTGCACACCATACCCCTACCCTCTGAGTCCTGGGCAGGGCAGGGCTGGGTATATAGGGATGGCAGGGGGTCAGGGGTCAGCATGGGACTCACAAAGAAGCCACAGGAAGCCTTGACAGTAGGTGCCTCGGGGAACTTGAGGGCCAGCACAGCTGTGGGAGAGGCAGAGGCAGATCAGATGGGGCCTAAGGATCCTCCCAAAGGGGCCCCAGGCCCACCTCTCCACCTGTCCCCACTTACCACACTGGAACACAGCTTTGATGTCCAATCGTTCACACAGGAACAAATCTGGCTTCCGCTTCAGAGCCTGCAGGAGGTGGAGCTGGTAAGCCCAGCCCCAGCCAGCTCCAAGGACCATCCCCCCACTCACCTGCCACCCTAGGCCCAACTTCACACACCACAGGTAGAGGCTGCCAAAACCAGCCACCCAGCCATCACTGGGAGACCCAGACCACCCTAGAGTTCAGTAGGTCAGGAGAGGAGCAGCCAAGGGATGCTATGTACATGTATGTGTACATGAATGTACAGGTGTATGTGAGAGAGGTGGGGGTCATAATGCAGAAAGCTTGGGTCCCAAGTCACTCTCTGAGCAAACATCTCCCCGTCTCCCTCCATCAGGGCCAGACCTCCTGCAGGCTCCAGGTAGCCAGCAGTGACTTCGCTTTGATTCAAAGAGGCAGTCAAGGTCCCCTGGATTTGTTAACAGGGCAGCAGGAAGAAGAGATGGCAGCTGGACATGGAGTCTAGTCCAACTGCCCCCTTCCCATGTCCTGCCTATATTCCTCAGACATCCTCCAGCTCAGGAAGAGGAAAAGCAGGGTAGGAGCGCTGGAGCCATGGCCCCATCTTTCACCCAGGATACCCTATGTACAGGCCCTTCTCAGCCATGCCCAGCCCAGGAGCCAATGCTGCCATGTCGGGGGAAAAGATGGAGTACAGGGGGCAGAGAGCCCACCCCAAGTGGTACCAGGACACAACGGACACATCCTCAGATCACAGGAGATGCTCTGCACAGCTCCAGCAGTCATCAAACAGTGCTGTTCCCCAGCAGCACCCCCCAACACACACCACACAGACCCCTAACCTCCAGCCCCTCACATACCTTCCACTCCCTCATGTTCACTCATGTGTAAACACTCCCACGTGCACTGTCACTTGAAACTTAGCCTCAAACACACCTCTATCATATCCCTTATACACACACTCTCTCACATTTGCAACATATCCTCACTACATCTTCACAGCCAAACTCCCCACATCCCCTAACCATGTCCGCACACCCACACCCTCAAACTACCCAGTCCTCCAGCACATGTATTCTCCCAACACACCCATCCACAAATACACACTCAAACACCCTCACCCCCAAAGATACACCCACACAAGTCCATCCAGGCTCAGAACACACTCCCCATTCCCCGCTTCTCCTGTGCCCTGCCGCCACAGACTATGAGTTCCAAGAGAGTAAGAACTGTGCCTGCTTTTGCTCACCATTATATCCTCACACCTAGCAGAGTACCAAGCATATATTACACGTTCAATAAGTATTTGTGGAATGATTAAGCAAAGAAATATGTCATTTACCCCAACCCACAGGACCCCTCAACCCACAGGAACCCCCTAACACACAGAAACCCCATCACACTAACCCCACATTCCCACAGCCCAACACATATATCTTCCAAAACGTACATACTC